GAATGGTGTTTTGAGGTTGCCTATGGTCCCTCCTAGATCTTACTGCTTCCTGAACAGTACTTTACAAAAGTAGGACATTGGCCCCTGCTGCTCCATGAATCCACAGGTCTCTCTTTTCCTCCTTCCCCTCCCTCTCCTGCCCTGCACATTCCCCTTCACATTCAAGATATTTGGAGCAAATTTAGCCTGGCTGGGTGGCAGGTCCTATAGGCAGGGGTTCCAAAGTGTTTCTCCTGAGAATATGAGGTATGATCTGAGATCTGAAGTGTGAGTGAAGAGCTAACACATTGAAGAGGAGTGAGGAGCGAGGAGAGCAGTCCCAGCAAAAAGGGTCCATACGGCAAGGTCTAACCGCAGGGGATAAAAACTGAGAAAAACTGCTATAAGCATTATTATTTGGAGATAAAACCATAATTCTAGAAGAATACATACTCTTTTTAACTTATATGCAGAGTACATCATGAGAAACACTGGGCTGGAGGAAGCACAAGCTGGAATCAAGATTGCTGTATGTTTTGGTGTATAAGACCTCAGCAAACCATATAGACATGAACCATTGACTACACAATAGTGGAAAATGTATTAGAGCTGCTCAAAGCTTTGGGTTTAAGTTCAGGTCTCTAGGTGAAGTTCAAGTTACCAGATATATGGTCTTTGGCAAATGATATCACCTCCTTAAGCCTTAATTATATCATCTAGAGGGCTTCCTAGGTGGTTCAGCAGAGAAGAACGCACCTGATCATGCAGGAGACACAGTAGACAGGGTTCGATCCTTGGGTCAGGAAGATCCCTGGAGGAGGAAATTGTAACCCACTCCAGTATTCTTGCCTGAAAATCCCATGGACAGAGGAGCCTCGCAGACTATAGTCCACAGGGTCTCAGAGTCAGACTTGACTGTGTGACTGAGCATGCATGCACATATCATCTGGAAAATAAAGATTATGGTAATAATACTTCTTGCCCCACCTGTCTCATAGGATCACTGTAAGGGTATATAATGTGACAATGGACTTGAAGTTGTTTTGCAAAATGCAAAGAACTTTAACATGCACATTGTTACTAGCATGTTGATAGCAATCTATTCACAGTAGGATGCAACATTTTGAGAGACTCCTACCTGGACAAAGTAGCAAATACTAGTGTTTTATCTCTCATTTATAATTTTAAGTAACTACAACACAACAGACTGGTTCCAAATAGGAAAAGGAGTAGGTCAAGGCTGTATTTAACTTATTTAACTGCTTTATTTAAATTATATGCAGAGTACATCATGAGAAACGCTGGGCTGGAAGTAACACAAGCTGGAATCAAGATTGCTGGGAGAAATATCAATAACCTCAGATATGCAGATGACACCACCCTTATGGCAGAAAGTGAAGAGGAACTAAAAAGCCTCTTGATGAAAGTGAAAGAGGAGAGTGTAAAAGTTGGCTTAAAGCTTAACATTCAGAAAACTAAGATCATGGCATCTGGTCCCATCACCTCATGGGATATAGATGGGGAGACAGTGGAAACAGTGTCAGACTTTACTTTTCTGGGCTCCAAAATCACTGCGTATGGTGACTGGAGCCATGAAATTAAAAGACGCTTACTCCTTGGAAGGAAAGTTATGACCAACCTAGATAGCATATTAAAAAGCAGAGACATTACTTTGCTGACAAAGGTCCGTCTGGACAAGGCTATGATTTTTCCAGTGGTCATGTATGGATGTGAGAGTTGGACTGTGAAGAAAGCTGAGTGCCGAAAAATTGATGCTTTTGAACTGTGGTGTTGGAGAAGACTCTTGAGAGAGTCCCTTGGACTGCAAGGAGATCCAACCAGTCCATCCTGAAGGAGATCAGTCCTGGGTGTTCATTGGAAGGACTGATGCTGAAGCTGAAACTCCAGTACTTTGGCCACCTCATGCTAAGAGTTGACTCATTGGAAAAGACCTTGATGCTGGGAGGGATTGGGGGCAGGAGGAGAAGGGGATGACAGAGGATGAGAAGGCTGGATGGCATCACCAATTCAATGGGCATGAGTTTAAGTAAACCCCAGGAGCTGGTGATGGACAGGGAGGCCTGGAGTGCTGTGATTCATGGGGTCGCAAAGAGTTGGCCATGACTGAGCGACTGAACTGAACTGAACTGACACGGAGGTAGGGTGCTAGAGAAGACTCTTGAGAGTCCCTTGGACAGCAGGGAGATTACACTGCTGCTGCTGCTAAGTCGCTTCAGTTGTGTCTGACTCCATGTGACCCCATAGACGGCCGCCCACCAGGCTCCCCTGTCCCTGGGATTCTCCAGGCAAGAACACTGGAGTGGGTTGCCATTTCCTTCTCCAATGCATGAAAGTGAAAAGTGAAAGTGAAGTCACTCAGTCGTGTCCAACTCTTAGTGACACCATGGACTGTAGCCACCAGGCTCCTCCATCTATGGGATTTTCCAGGCAAGAGTACTGGAGTGTGGTCCATTGCCTTCTCCAGATTACACCAGTCAATCCCAAAGGAAATCAACCCTGAATATTCATTGGAAGAACTGATACTGAAGCTGAAACTCCAATACTTTGTCTACCTAATGTGAAGAGCCAACTCATAGGAAACAACTTTGATGCTGGGGAAGATTGAAGGCAGGAGGAGAAGGGGATGACAGAGAATGAGATGGTTGGATGGCATCACTGACTCAATGGACATGAATTTGAGCAAGCTCCAGGAGATAGTGAGGGAAAAGAAAGCCTGGCATGCTGTAGTCCATGGGATCACAAAGAGTTGAACATGCCTGAGCCACTGAACACCACTACCACCACCATCACCACAGAGATGAACCTAATGAACATACTAAGTATGATGTACGACTATATACTAGCAATACAATCTTCCTTCCCTACACAAGTTGGAAGAGCAGCTAACAATTTACTCTCAGAACTCTCTGTAAGTTCTTCATGGGACATGCCTAGTAGAGAATGACCAAATGAAATAATGAATACCTAGCACAAAAGCCTAAAGTCAGCCCAGTCACCACTCTTTTCTTAGGCCCTTAGCCAGGATAAAATGAGTTGGCTAACAATTCTTGAATATTTATGGTAAACTCTACATTCTATCAGGAAACATCATCAGGAAATGCAAATTAAAACAATAATGAGGTATCACTACACATCTACTAGAATGGCCAATATTTGGACCACTGGTGATACCAAAGCTGGCAAGAATGTGGAGCAACAGGAACTCTCATAAATTGCTGGTGGGAATTAAAAATTGTATAATCACTTTGGAAGACAGTTCAGGGTTTTGTTTTTTTACAAAACTAAATATATCCTTACCATGTGATCCAGAAATTGTATTCCTTGGTATTTTCTCAAAGGAGGTGAAAACTTATTCTACATAAAAACCTGTGCATGGATGTTTATAGCAACTTTAATCATAACTGCCCAGTTTTTAAAGCAAGCTAAATGTCTTTCAGTTGATGAATGACAAACTGTGGTATATTCAGACATTGGACATTATTCAGCCCTAAAAAGGAATTAACTATAAAGCCATGAGCAGACATAGAAAAACCTTAAATTCATATTATTACATGAAAGAAGTCAATCTGAAAAAGCTATGTATTATATGATTTCATACAATGGAATAGATTCAGTTCAGGATCAGTTGCCTAGGATCCAAGAAGAATAAAATGGATTTGCTTTTCATTTAGGCCTGATGAGCAATGAGAATAGAATATGTGAAAATTTTCTAAAATTAAAAAATATAAAATAAAAAGAGACACATTTTTTTCAATTACATTTTTATTTTGTTATACAAAGTTTTATGGGAAGTCCAAACCTTAAAAAAAAAAGACAAAGAATTAATGACTTAAACCAGTAGAAAATTTATAATTTATAAATCCTAATAACCTGAACATTTATAATCCTTATAACCTTATCTAAGCTTTCAGTCCACCTAAAAATTGCCTTTCTTTTGTTTAAAGGATGGCTCCAAAGAAATGAAGATTGTGAATGGATACTCGTAAAAGGTAATTCCCACTGTTGCACTGATTCCATTCTGTTTTTAATATATATTACTTTTCAGACAGTTTAGTGACTTTCAAGTGCCTTATGCTCTCCTCTCCACTTAGAATGCTTTATAGAACAGGCTATACTGCCCTATCATCTCAGTTAACAAACACCAGGACCTTTTAAAACAAACAGCAAGGAACACACTGTTGCCATCTATATTTGAAGGAGTTGCTGCCTCCCATTCCTCCTATTTCTATAAGGTTGCTCTAGAACTGTTCACAAAATAACATCCCAATGGAAACTATAGATCAGGGACTCTCTATATTTTATGTGGACCTACTTAAGTCTGGGCTTAAAACCCAGAGCAGATTCTGAAGGATGCAGAGAAGAATGCCCTGATGTGTCCCAGGCTAGTTCTTATTTCTGAATTGGGAGTGTGATGCCTGCTGGCCAAACAATGCAATTCTGACATTGGCTGTCATGTCTTTTGCTAGTCAAATAGTCTAACTCAGTTCTATAGCTATACCTCTCAGATCTAAGAATATAAAGTTCTTATTTAAAATTGGGTATGAATATCCAATATTCTCATAATGCTAACAGCTGCATAATTTATAAACACTGGAAAACAGAGCTCGTAAAGCAGAAATTTAAAAGTGTATGGACCTTTTGTCTTAATAAAGATTGTGTTTAAAGTAATCCTAATACTTCATAAGCTTTGCTTCTAAAGGAATAACAATTTCTAACCTATTTGGATATTTTACAAGTACATATTTGTACTTATAATGTACTTGGAATATGACAAAGAAAAAGAAATAAATTTCAAAAATTAAGAAAAATACAATGAAATCCTTACAGTCAGCTCGAATAATAAAACTAATCACACTTATCTGAAGTAAAAGTTCATAAATTTATATTAAATTTATATGGAAGTTATACATCAAGTAGTGTTTTCTATAATCAAAATCCCAGCCTACTTCATACAAACCAGACTGCTGGTTATTAAACATTGTTCTACTACTGATGATGAATTATGCTTGACTTGACTTGGGCCCAAGCAAAGTCACTATTACGTCTCCCTGAAAAGAAAAAAAGTTACACAATTAAAAGGCAATAAAATACAAATTAGAGGTAAAGTAGTGTTTAAAATGCCATTTAAAATTTATAAGCTAGTGATACACATATAAAGAGCACCCAATAGGACTATAAAAGGAAACAAACCAAGTTAAGTTTAAACAGTAACATTTACTTCCTAGTATGAATTGCTCTTTCCTTTGAGAGGCTCTCTTAATGAAGTTTGATAAACAATTTTATACGGATTCAGTAAAGGGACAATTTGGCAGCTCCTGTTTAGCTTTAATGCTTAATCCTCAGTTTTTTCATCTGTAAAATCACTTTTAGTCTTAATGCTACCTTAAGCTCTTTGTTGATCTGTAGTGTTTCATTAGAGAGAGTAAAACATCTGAATTTCTGTGTGGACTGGAATTTCATTTAATAATAATGATCTTTGTATCAAAGGGGTAAATGAAACCAAAGACGGGAGGTGAGTTTTCAGGAAAGACACAGTAAAAAGATGGGAATTGGAAAAGAAGGCTAGGATTTTCTCTATCACATAGAAAAGTTGATCTTGAGGAAATCACTGATATCTGGGAATCTTAGTTTCTTTAAATGCATAATGAAAATATTAACATCCAGTTCCAAAGATTGTTGTAAGAGATGATTGAGCTAATGTAGTTGAAGGTGTTTTATAAACTGCAGAGTTATAAGCACCATAGATAATGTTATGTAAGTCAGTTCCTATCTTTTAGCTTATACTATACTCTCTTCAGCACCTCCCTATCCTTTTAACCTCCGACACACCAAATCAATTGCTAAACTGGAGAGGGTGGGACAAACAGAGAGTAGCACTGTACACAATGCATGCACGCTGTGCACGCCTGCATACTAAGCCACTTCAGTAGTGTCTGACTCCTTGTGATCCCACGGACTGTAGCCTTCCAGGTTCGTCTGTCCATGGGATTCTCCAGGCAAGAATACTGGAGTGGGTTGCCATCCCCTTCTCCAGGGGATCTTCCTGACCCAGGTCTCTTATATCTCTTGCATTGGCAGTTGTTCTTTACCAGTGAGCCACAAGGGAAGTCCACAATATATACATACCATTGTGGCTCAGCTGGTAAAGAATCTGTCTGCAATGAGGGAGACCTGGGTTCTATCCCTGGGTCGGGAAGATCCCCTGGAGAAGAGAAAGGCTACCCACTCCAGTATTTTGGCATGGAGAATTCCATGGACTGTATAGTCTGTGGGGTCGCAAAGAGTCGACATGACTGAGTGGCTTTCATACACTTGACTATCACACTCTATACACAATATCAGGTATAAAACAGATAGCTAGTGGAAAGCTGCTGTATAACACAGGGAGCTCAGCTTGGGGGTAAGATGGGGGGTGGGAGGGATGCTCAAACCTACCTAGATCTAGTTCAGTCTCTCACTTGGGTAGATTAGTAGAGCATTACTATAGCTTGTTCAGTTTTATTTTAGTGCCTAAAATAGACCCTGTCACATAACCCATGCTCAGTAAATATTTATTGAATGAATGGTCTATCTTTTCTGCCTTCAATGTCTCTCAGCATTAATTTATATATATACATACATATACACACACACACACACACACATATATACATACGCAGTGTGTGTATGTATGTGAATGTGTTTGTATTTTTGAAGATTTCACTTCTCTTTTTTTCTCTTAATTTGGGGGAAAAAATGTACATTCAAAAGTATGAAGGAAAAGATGCAAGCATTAGTATACTAAAACATAAGAGTAGAAACAATATATAGGAGTGATTCTCTACAGGCTGCCTCCAGAAAAGGAGTTGGTTCATGCCACTGAAATTGACTTCTGCCAAGTGCTAAGCCATAATTCTGTTCAACGCAAGACTTAGGCCCCCAGGAACCAAGCCCCAGGGCACCAAGAGAAGAGCTGGTGCTTCAAACAACAATAAATGCTAATGTGGTGGTATGTCCTGTCAACATCCAGCTACATCATAAACTTGTAACTGCAAGGTTTGGACCCCAACCTCCTGTTCATATCAGGCACCAAGCTGATGCACCACCATAAACATGAGTCCTGAATCGGTAGGATAGGGCTAGAACCAATGTCCCGCCATGTCCTATGACAATGATATTCTGACCCTTGGTCACACTGGGAGGGTCCAGAGTTTCAGAAATTATGTCACTTAAAACCTCCACAGCCCTTTCTCCTTCTGTGCAAGGTCAGAAAAAGTGATGGGCAAGAGAAGATGAGCAGGTGTTCTGGTCCTAAAGTTGCTATTGATCCTTTCTACCTGGGTTTCTCTCAATGAACCCTGTTCCAGTACATTCAATGCATGGGCTGTCTGGTACTTGGCCTTTGTGAACTACATATTTACCCCAAATCAACAAATGTAATTTTTGCCTTGAATATTTTTTAGTAAAATAAATACAACTTTACTGATGAAGTTCTCTTTGTACCCCTCTCCAATTCTATTCTTTCCTCACCTTTCATTTTCCAGAGGCAGCTTTTATCATAAATTTGGTGTACATATTTCCCGTATGGTGAAACCATATGACTAGCAAAATTTTGATTAACTCTTGGTTAAAATTAACAGAGAAATTGTAGGTCATAACTTTACATGGTAAGACATCTTTATGGGAAATAATGGCTTAACATTAATTATTTTGAGACTTTAAATTACTATTATGATTACAATTCTTTGCTGAAAAGCTAAGAAGGAAGTGTACCAGTTAAGCTTGTGGTCAGTTATAATTAACAAAAAATCTGATTAATGATTTTTTGTTTAATCTTTCAGAAATATAACCCCCTGAACCTTTAAAATTCAATGGCCAAAAAGAATGAAAACTTATTTGTATTAGGAAACTGTATTTATTTACTAATGTATGTAACATATTTGTTAAAAGAAAACTTTTGCTCACCAGCATTGAAATCATTCACATACACCGCCCCTCTCCCCCACACACACACTTGTTTTTTGAAAACATTCAGACTCTCTGAGCTTAGCCTTCTGCTTACAGAGTATACTGCTCAAAATAAAAGATGTCAAAATCAAAACACAAAAATGAAAATTTTATTTCACATTCTAATCTATATTATTTTCTTTTACTAACTATAAATATAACAAGTAAAGGACTTAATTTTGAGTTGTGTGTCTAAATAATATTACATAAATCATAACATATTGTATTTACCTTCTGACAATTTGCTTTTGTCATGCAACACTATGTTTTTTAAGATTTGTTCAAAATTTGTCAAATTGACATATTGAAATATATATCAAACTTCTTTATTGTAGTCATTTATGTGATTATGCCACATTTTATTTATCCAATATCCCACTGATAATCATTTAGATTGTTTCCAATTTATCAGTATAGAAACAAGGCTGTTATGAGCGTTCTTTCCTCATTAGCACGTCTTTCAGACCACTACCAAGAAACTAAACAAAGCCCTAGGAGATATACAGAATCCAAACAGATGTCATTTAAACATCTAGAACAATTATAGTTCTACAAGATAGGAAAACTGTTGCAATTTAGAATTAATGACACAGTCAATAAATGAATTGAAATGAATCAAGACGCAGCAACACATTCAGAGTTGCAGACTTCCAAGAAAATATGTGATATGAAGGTAATATGTAACCAGACTTGAAGAGAATGGGCTTTGAGACACCTACATATGGAGGGTGTTGACAAAACAACTGAAATAGGGCTCAGCCTGGCAGCCAAGGTAGTCGGGAAAATGCTCTTGAACATCTACTATCAATATGCATCCAGGACAGTTGAGAAAATAATCTCCAAACTACTTGGGATGTTTCACTCATTTCTTTATTGGGAAAACATGTTTGCCCTGAGAAGAATAAAGACTGAGTATAGAAATAATGCAGCAAATCAAACAGGTAATTATAATATTTTTGTATTAAAGCATTTATACATGCTTGGTATTTTAAATATTCATTATATATAAAATAATTTGTCATATTTGATTATCTAACAAATAAGTTTATGATTCTAATGAAAATTACCTATAATAGTAATTAGGTAATTGATTTAAATTTGTAATCATAGATTGAAATATTATTAATTTGTAACAAGCATTGAAACATTTAGGAAAATTTAAGATTCAGCATATTCAATATTTTAAACTTATTAAGCTAATAGGAATTCCTTAAGTATCTGAGATTTGTTTGTCCTAAGACAATTGAAGTATTTAAAATCTAATATATTAAATTTATAAACACAATTTAAAATATTCAAAGAAATTTAATTGTTACAAAAACTCACTTAAAATTATTTATTAAAGTTTCCTAGACTTAGAATAATAAAATATATAATCTAAGAGTTTAAGGTGAACTAAGTTTTTTTTTAATTTTGTAATGTGAATGTTTTAAGTGAACCTGAACTGAGTTATCATCTCTGTCTAAAAGAAACATTTAAAAAAAAAACCCTCATGTTGCCACCTTCTATATATCCCTTAGTACACATGTGCAAGAGAATCTCATGCTATCACTGGCTTACATGATATCTGAAATTTCAGTTTTATTGAATTTCTTTCCAAAGAGCAATTTCTAATTCACATTCCCATGATCCCTGCATAAGAATTCCTAGTTCCCTACAACTCTGCTAACGCTTGATATTAACTAATATTTTAATTTTGGGAAATCTGATCAATATGAACTGGCATTTTGTAAAATTTTAATTTCACATTTCCTCAATATTCATGAGAATGAATGTTTCTTTACAAGTTTATTTGATAATTTAGTTTCCTCTGCTCTGAGTTAATATTTTATACATTGCCCATTTAAAAAATTGAATCATTCTTATTGTCTTGTAGGAGTTTTTACATACACTGGATATTAAATGTCTTTCATATATCTTGGCAATTTCTTCTTCCAGTCTGTTGTTTTTAACTTGGAATATGAAATCCTGGACAGAAAATATGAATTTTGACAAAATAATCACACAAAAAATAATTGAGATTTATAGAGAGTTTCCTATATGCCAGTAACAGTTCTAACCA